GGGGTGGGGTGTGCAGGCAGCGGGGACGCCGGGCCAGGGGGTGCAGGTCTGGGCCAAGCTGGGGGGGGGACGCTGGGGCACCAGGGCTTGGCTAGGGACACTGGAGGTGCTAGGCCAGGCTGGAGAGAGGGTGCTGAAAGTCCAGGCCAAGCTCTTGAGGAGGTTTGGGGGCTGTGGCCCAGGCTGGGGAGTGGTATTGCGGTGGGGAGCACAGCCAGGGGTGTTCCTGTTCATCGGGCATCCAGCTTTGATGGTGCCTAGAGCCATCGGGCACCACCTCCGGGCAGGCAGCGTGCCTTACCCGACATGAGTGGGGGGCCTGGCCCTGCAGCAGTGCCTTCCCCAAGGAGGGCTCTAGGCTGTGGTGGCAGCAGGGCTCTGTCTTCTGCAGTTGCTCCCTGCCTTCATGGCCACCCTCCTCCTCAGCTGCAGGAGTTACAATCAGTTCTCAGCAGCAGCAATGATGGGAGAAAATACTGCCTGGTTGGCTGTGGGCTGAAAACCCAATTATCGTTAGTAGTAAAGTGGGTTGCAACAGCCTGAAAGCCCCAAAGTCTTTGGCAGAATGTGCAAACCCGCATGTTAGGTGTGTGAGGAACCCTGGGGGCAGGGTAACTGCGGGTGCCACATGAATGTGGCTTCTTGGGGACTGCCAGGACCTGTGCTAGGGACCACGTAAGTGCTCCCCTGACTGCTGCCACCCTGTTTTGTGTCTGCCCCGACTCTTGTGTGTGCTTTGCCAGGCTATGCGGCTGAGAACCATCCTCGAGCAGAGGGACAAGATGATCAAGGAAGGGAAGTACACGCCGCCTGATTACCACAAGGGCAAAGAGGAGCCGCGGCCTTGATTCATGGGGGATGTGGCCATCGGTCATGTGTAGAGTTATTGACGTGGAACTCCTCTGAGAAGAAAACCTGTGGCACAACTGGGTTATGTTGCAGCGGTGGGGTGGGGTCTGCGTGGTGCCCTGCCTTTGCTGAAGGGGTATGACACCACATCGGGCATCGCTTGGGCTAGTAAATGTCTCCTTCGGAATAGTGTTTGGCTCTGTCTTGTCGTCTTTTTCTTTTTTTTTGAGCATTGTGGTTTAACTTCAGCCGGCAACTAGGACCGTGCAGCTGCTCACTCACTCCCCCAGTTGGGATGGGGAAGAGAATCAGAAGAGTAAAAGTGAGAAAACTCGTGGGTTGAGATAAAGACAGTTTAATAAGTAAAGCAAAAGCTGCACACACAAGCAAAGCAAAACAAGGAATTCATTCACCACTTCCCATCGCAGGCAGGTGTTTAGCCATCCCCGGGAAAGCTGGGCTCCAGCACGCATGATAGTGACTTGGGAAGATAAACGCCATCACTGTGAATGTTCCCCGCTTCCTCCATCTTCCCCCAGCTCTATATCTTCGGTGTGATGTCACATGGTGGGGAATATCCCTTTGGGCAGTTGGGATCAGCTGTTTCGGCTCTGTCCCCTCCCAACTCAACTCCTTCTGCTTCTCCCCCCTCCCCAGGCCCGCTCGCTGATGGGTGAGGAGCAGAAAAGGCCTTGAGCACTTAGCAACAACTAAAACCACCGGTGTGCTATCAATGCTGTTTTCATCCCGAATCCAAAACACAGCCCCACACCAGCAGCTAGCACAAAAGTCAACTCCATCCCAGCTGGAGCCATGACACTGAGTAAATCGTGGCTTGAGGGTCTCCCTCTGTAGCAGTGCTGCCAGGGCAGCTTTTGAGACACCCTCAAATGCGGCAGCGGTGGTGGGGATGTGCTTTTGGGGAGGTCAGATGTTGCTGGTGTTGGGGGCTGTCGTGGTCCCTTTGTGCTCGCAGCCTGTCCCACCAGCCAGCCTGGCAGGCGGCAATGGCTGCTGGAAACGAGAGGAATAACCTGAAAGAGTAAAAAAAAAAAAACCACCTGTCCAAGTTTGTCCTGCAAAACTTCATCTTGATTCACAGCCAGCCCGTGGGACTGGTGTGTGTGCTGGGCTGTTCCCAGTCACTCTCCAGCTGGTGGTACTGGTATGTGAGGTGAAAACCTGGTTAAAACAACTCTCTGCCGCCCAGATTCAGAGCGGTAGTGGATGGATTTGGGTTCTTTCCTGCCCTTTCAGTGTGTCGCAGGCAGATCTCTTCGCTGGGGGCTCTGCTTCCAAATCCTGCCTGTCAGTGGGAACCATTGAGCGCTGCGGCGGCACCGGGCCGTGCCGATGGCAGCTGGCGGGTGGCCCTGGCACACCAGGACGGTTTGTCCCTCCGCAGTGTGCCCTGGCAGCAGTACCCGCCTGCGCAGCCGGTGTTCCTCCCTTCCCAAGGGGAGTATTTCCTGCTGTTCCCTCCAAATCCGGCAGTTTTGTAACGGCATTAAAGCAGGTGAGTACCTGGAAGTAGAGAGGGGACAGCTCTGTGCTTTAATCCCCGTTTTTAATACCGGTGATTGTGGGTTTAATGCTTAATCTTTGATGCAGGTGGAGCCTACGAGTTGCCTGATCCTCGCAAATCCCCACGCTGGTATGATAAACGCGGTGTAACCTCCGGCAGGCAGAGATGGCCAGTGCCCCTCACCGAGCTGCGCTGAGGGGCTGCGCGGGGCTGTCGCAGAATCTCTGACCTCCGCCCCACCGATGCCTTTGTCCGTGGGTCAGCAGTACTTCAGACACGCAGCTCTGCATTCGGCTCCCTCTCTGGAGGGCCGAAGGCGGCCGAAGGCGGACCTCCTCTTTCCCCAAACACCGGGTGAATGATTAACCGGGTGGGGGAGAGCAGCTGGTTTGATGAGCAAGCTGCGTTTAGATAGCGTGCCCCTGAAATTTGGAGGCTTGAAATTAAAGTATCACCTAATGTGGACTGTGACAGGAACAAAAACCCAAACTCTCCCGGCTGGGACCAGTCCCCTGCCTGCAGAGAGGGAGCCGCAGCCGTCGCTTTGAGCTCAGGGGAACCGGACCCTGCGGTGGGCACATGGATTCCCTCCTGGGGGCGGGAAGAGGCTCGCAGAGCTCTGGAAGAGCTGTGCCCTGGGATACGAGGGGCCACAGCCGGGTGGTGTGGTTTTGGGGCTCTCTGCCCTGCTCCTGTGCCGTCCCAGCGTGCCCGGGGCACTGGAAGAAACAATTCCCCGGGTTTCACCCCAGTTCTCACACAGGCCGTGGTGGCCACAGTCTCACAGGTGCCATCCCAGCAGAGTTTTGGCCTTTTAGGGATTTTTGCTGCTCATCGAGCTTCTCTCCCGCAGCTCCCTCCAGAGCGGCCTTGCTGACTGCTGCCGGGAGGTTTCTCCCTTCCCCCAGGCCCAGATGGATCGAGCACTACGGCCCAGATGGATTCCCTCCGCTCGGGCTGATTCACGGCTGCAGTCATCCCGGCGTGTGGGAGGGACGGAGCCACCTTTCTCCCTGGCAGGGGCAGGCGCTGGGGGGGGATGGCACCAGAGCATCCCGAAATCTGGGTCTGGATCTGATGAGATCCTGGGCTGCCGGAGACGGGGAGCTGCTCTCCCCGTGTGTAACAGGCTGATAACCCTCAGGGATTTTGTTTGGCGCTTTCAAATATGAAAACTGGTGGTGATTAGTTTCAGCAGAGGAAAACTTACATCATGCTGGCGACACTCAGGTGGATTTCCAGCGTTCCGGCTATAAAAGTGGGCGAGGGGGAGCTCCCCGGGCAGCAGTGGAGGGAAACACCAGAAAGATGTGAGAGCAGCGTGAAGAAATGGGCAGAAACGTGAACGGTTTCAGGTGAAACCACCCCGGGAGGTTCCCGGCACGAGGGCTGTGGGCTCCGGGGCTGCCGGAGCTGCCAACCACCGGCTGTCAGAACCAATAAATGATGAACGGAGAGGGGAAACCGTGGCTGGGGACAGAAATCGAACTGTGCCGTGTGAGCCATTGGCCGCAGAGTATTTATCCGCAGCCAAGAGCCGTCCGTGGGGCGCTTTGGGGAGAAGGAGAGGGCGGAGGGTCCGGGGCTGCGTGGGTGGGGGACACGGGGACCACCAGCGCAGCTCCAGAAAGCGCCGAGCAGGGCTGAGCCGTGCCGGCGAGGTGGGAAGCCCCTGCGCCCCGAGGGCTGGCGTG